CAGTGCATCTGGGTGTGAGTGTATTAAAGGCACCATGCGTCAAAGTGACAGACAGCAGCAGGACTGTGTTGTTGTTTTTTTGTTGCATGTTGTCAAAGAAATGCTCACACAGATTCGTGTCACTTAATACATGAAATTGTGGTAAGCAAATTTAGTTCTCACATTATTGCAGAGTGAGGTCAGAGTGCAGGGTCAGCTGCTGATGAGCATCACTGGTAGTGTTCTAGTGTCTCGAGGATATTTTAGTCGTTTGAAATAGAATAACTGGTTAGATTTCTGGGTGTTTGTGTTATAACCTGTCTTAATGCAGGAGATGTACATTTACAATTGTCTCTTTATGTAAGATGAAACTCCAAACATAAGGCATTTGAATCTAAGTATTTCCTATCATTCATTTAATCAACCATGTTTTGGTGGTGGGATACGAGGAAAACCGGAGAACCTTTTTATTCCCCCCTTCCCAAAAGTCTCATTTGTTGCCTTCATTACTTTCAACGTTTGCAGCTGCATTTGTCAAGATGTTTGTTTTTCCATCATTTAGTGTTTCTTAAGAACTAAGAACCAAAGTATTGCTCAACACCAAGTGAAACTTCTACCAACAACTAAACAAGTTAGTGCAAGCCCAAGAATTCCGATGAAAAGCTGCAGAGGGACAATCATTGGCCAGATCGTCCCAAGTATATTAAAGTGCTATCCATAACATAAGTACTACCATATATATACTTAGTGTGCAGTAAAATGTTCTCTGCTCAATATTTTACTATAAATATGATGTTTCTGGATGCATATTACTGCTGCATTATATATGTATGTTGCCTCTTTTGGTGCAGTGCATCTGGGTGTGAGTGTATTAAAGGCACCATGCGTCAAAGTGACAGACAGCAGCAGGACTGTGTTGTTGTTTTTTTGTTGCATGTTGTCAAAGAAATGCTCACACAGATTCGTGTCACTTAATACATGAAATTGTGGTAAGCAAATTTAGTTCTCACATTATTGCAGAGTGAGGTCAGAGTGCAGGGTCAGCTGCTGATGAGCATCACTGGTAGTGTTCTAGTGTCTCGAGGATATTTTAGTCGTTTGAAATAGAATAACTGGTTAGATTTCTGGGTGTTTGTGTTATAACCTGTCTTAATGCAGGATATGTACATTTACAATTGTCTCTTTATGTAAGATGAAACTCCAAACATAAAGCATTTGAATCTAAGTATTTCCTATCATTCATTTAATCAACCATGTTTTGGTGGTGGGATGCGAGGAAAACCGGAGAACCTTTTTATTCCCCCCTTCCCAAAGTTTCGGTTGTTGCCTTCATTACTTTCAACGTTTGCAGCTGCATTTGTCAAGATGTTTGTTTTGTCATTCAGTGTTTCTTAAGAACTCAGATTTTGGTCAGTTTCCAGTAAAACTTCTACCAACAACTAAACAAGTTAGTGCACGCTAACATTTTCCAATGAAAAGCTGCAAACTGAAAAACAATGTCGTAATCATTGCTAGTATGTTCAAGTGCTATCAATGCCAAGTGAAACTACCCACACCCAGTACATGAGTGAAAGAACACAAACAAATATAATTCTCACCACCACAGATCCTCTACAATTGGCTAAGAGAGGCATGTAACAACACATGATCCTCGATCGATCAACATAAAAGCAGCCACGGAGATCTTGTGAACCACAACTTTGGAAACGGAGCAAAGTTCTGCGAAGATAGTCGGGAGGGATCAACCAACAGATGAATGCCATGAAAGAAAAACCTTTAGCTTTGGAGACCAAGCTGAAGGCTGTTCCTGTTTCTCCTCATTTCACCAAAGACGGAAAGACGACAAGCTTCCGAACTGAGATGGAACCACATGTGGTGAAATGGAAATTATGTGAGTATGTTGCAGCAATATTGTGATCTATTTTATTTAGACAAAATATCGTCTAAATAAATCTTTTATAATTCCAAAAATCATACGCAAATAAAAGAATCTTACTTAAGCTATCAGACAAAATTGTACAGACTTTTGGAAGCTTGAAGGTATCTAGAATTTGATGTGAATTATTTTGCATCATTTATCATAATTCATCTTTAATCACTATTTGAAGATATTGCTATGTAAGTATGGGATTCCAGCTCCTCAGACGCCGCACACACACACACACGTATACATAATAATGACCTATTCTTAATATATAAGTTAAGTTAATAATGAACTTATATATTATTTTTGATTATTTATTAATTTATAATTACTTCTACTAGAATTGTTATTGTATTCTCTAAGGATTTTGTTCTTTGTGTTTTTCGTGTTTTTTTCTTATGTATATTTATATTTTTACATAGGGATATTTGTGTACATGAACTGTATTTGTGTATTTATTTGTAGATTGAAATACATCCCGTATTACTACCGAACCTCAATCGACACCCCTCACTCACCCATCAAACGGATCACACATCCACACACTTATATCGTATATTGTAATATTTTGCTGGACCTCCACTTCTCACTTGTATACTCTTCATTCTAAACCTGAATATTATTCTCCTCAGTTTGTTTTTGTCCCTGTCTTACTTTGTATAATTTATTGGGTCATATATGTGTGTTAATGTAATTGTCTGCACTTGTTTTGTACTCAATAAAAAAAAATGTAAAAAAGAATTTACTTTTTTAATTTGGAAGTTGAACCTCAGCTCCTATAATTTATTATAGTATATTGATCTTGTTAAGGGGGAATTTGTCTTTGCATTTGACCCGTCCCTGTATATAGGGAGCAGTGGGCTGCCAATGACAGGCGCCCGGGGGGCTGTTAGGGGTTCAGTGTCTTCGACTCAGTACACGTCCCAGTTAAGGATCGAATTGTCCAACTTGCGGTTACCAGACAACCCTCTTAACCCAGTGAGCCACGGTCGCCCCAAATAATAAGCTCAAAGAAAACTGTGAAACCAAAATACAGACACTTGAATATGTCCTCATTGCAAACCATTAAAAACACCAACCTAAAGTCACATATTCTGTTATATCAGGCTATCAGACTGGAGCCGTGGCTTCAGAAATGGAGCTTTTACTGTTTTCCACCAGATTGAACCATTTTCTCATGTTTGTCCTATGGGGCAAATTCATGCTATTTTCCTGGTTTCCACTGGGGGCACTGCTGCAGTATTATGGAGCACTGCAGTGATTGGTGCAATTCCCGACATCAATCTTGATCCCATTTATTGCTATATCCCAGAATGTAGCAGGCATTTTCAATATATAAAAAAAAAAAAAATGTATATTTGGTAGTTTTAATCATAACATAAGTTGTTTAAAAGAATGAACTCAGTGAAAGTGGAAAACAATGTTAATATTTAATTTGATGGCAGTTTTTTTATTTCAGTCCTCTAAGGACATCAGATCAACTTCATTCTTGAGTCACCTTGTTGGGTTTTATAGTGATAATGTTTAACAAGGTGGCCCTAAATAGAGAAGTGACGGATGAAATAGAGTTAAAGAACACCATTGCACTTCACATTGTGGATTTCATAATGCATAATTAAGATACTTTCTTTTATTATTTTCTTTATTTATTTAGTAGTTTTATGTGATAACTAAGGAATTTGCTCTGTTTAGTCAAATGCATGAATCAATGAATGTTAAATATCTTTCATGACGGAGTTAAGTGGTGTGTTTTACTCTTGATATGTTTCCAGTTGCTGTCAGTGTGCTGTTTCTCGCACTCTACCCCGCCCATGCTGCTGGTGTCTGGCAGAATGAAAGTCTGGCTGACTGTCTGGAGGACAATGACTATGATGAGCTTCTGCACATAGTGGAAACCGGTCTCCCTCCCCCAAACACAACTCATCATGTGGTTATCGTCGGAGCTGGCATGGCTGGACTGACAGCTGCCAAGCTCCTGAAAGACGCAGGACACAAGGTACATGCAACGGACTCATACACTACACATGATGTTATAAAACCACTGCACAACAAAAAGCATTTTCTTGTGAACAAATTGCTGGAGTTCGGGAGAGTTAATTAACGTTCAGGGTCTCTATTCTTAAAACCTGGGTTGGCATCAAGGACGCTGCACTTAGTTGGTTTTATTCTTACCTTTTAGAGAGAACCCACTCAGTCACCAGCGGTAATTACTCATCCTCTACATCTCACATTACCTGTGGTGTACCCCAAGGTTCAATTTTAGGTCCAATTTCATTTTCCATATACATGCTCCCACTTGATCAAATCATCCAACGTCCTAATGTCTCTTTTCATTTCTATGCAGACGACACGCAGACCTTTCCTTGAGACCTAATGACCCCAGAAGCCTAGCTGCTATTTTAGACTGTTAATGATATCTTAATGCCACCAAAGTCCCAACAAGTCTTCTTTTTGATGTAACACTGAAAGTCTTACTTGTTAACTGGTGAGTTGCCAAAGCACTGACGTTAACTAGGCAAAAATGGATCCAGCCCACTAGGTAACTAGTGACCTACACTTGTCTGCACTACCTACATAGTGAGAGACAAAATTGCTCCCTAATTACCTAGATCAGGGGTCGGCAACCTTTACTATCCAAAGAGCCATTTTGCCCTATTTTCCACCAAATAAAATTCGTGTGGAGCCGCAAAATTATTTATTTGATATCACAGCTTATAAAGTTATATATAGTTATATTATATATACAAAAACTATAGTTTGTTGTATTTATGAAAATATAGAACAAGTATAAAGACGATTCTTGACATTTTATTGCAGTTTTACCTGTTATAACAACATCAAACTCTTATGAAGAGTAGAGTTTGCTGCAGCAGCTGAGAATTCGCTCATCTCCAGCATGACACTTTTCAGCACATGCTGTGTGCTTGTTGTGGAAGCATACAGTAAGCCAGCATCGTTGGCAGTGAAAGCAAATGAAGACGTCCACGCAGAGTTGAACTCTATTTTCCTCCGTGACTTTTCTGGACATGTTCATGCCCCACCGCCCCAACAAAATTGTAACAAAATGGTCCACGTTGAACTTTTGTTGAAATAACAACATTTTGACTCCTCCATCTGTGCTTTTTCAAATAATAGAATAAAGAAAATTGCAATTACTTTCAAGTAAACCAGATCGCTCCATCAGACAAAAACAAATACAATGTGCAATCCCTTTGTTAGAACAATGCAAATAAAGTTCAATCTGTGCAAAAAATAACTAATATTTGGCAAAAAATAGCTTATTGTGGCTGCAATTCACCTGTTTTGCACTGAATATCTTTCCAAGATAATAACAATAAAGTGCAACCTGTGAAAAACTAAACAAAACAAGTTCAAATATTTGGCAATAAAGAGTTTTACTGAGTTTTACACTGCATATCTTTTCAAAACAACAATAGCGTGCAACCTGTGCAAATGTGTGAGCCATATGTCGTATATCAGGAGCATTTTATTTTAAATATGAGCTTTAAAATGTAGCATTCTAAAAGTAAAATAATAGCTGTGATAATAGCTGTGATAATAATAATAGCTGCACGTGGGACTGTTGGGACTGTTAGTCCACTGGCTGTGGTCATCACAGTGAACAGTGTGATGGGAGGACATGTGAGCCCTTGTTGCTCTACGTCCTCTACGGATCTACACGATTCACGTGGATGATATATTTTGATTCAAAACGGCAAATTTCGCCGAAAAGCGACAAGTTTGCAGGTATGAATAAAGTTCTTGAAATAAAAAAATTCTGCATTTCCCCCTGCGCCCCACCTGCAATACCGCCGCACCCCACAGTTTGAGAACCACTGGTCTATAGTAAGCAATGCATATTTTTTCCCCACCTCCTCATTAGCATTTTCTGAAACAAGCGTGACTATATTTTGGCTTTCACTAGATCAACTAGTAATATCAAAAGACACTCCAGCTAGTTAGTTTTGGCTTTCACCGGTTCAACTAGAGCTCGAATGGCTTTCCATACGTACACCTACTTTGTATATCTACTACATTTGAAACATTTCATGACTGGCCTTTCGTGTATTTATCTGTTCAAATTAATCTGTTGTGACAAGGTGACCATATTAGAGGCTAGTGGTCGTGTTGGAGGACGAGTGGAGACCTACAGGAATGAAGAAGAAGGCTGGTATGCTGACCTGGGAGCCATGAGGATCCCAAGTTCTCACCAGTGAGTTTATGTAACTCAAATCAAACATTTACCCCTCCCCCCCTCAGACTGACATAATTGTGTAAAAAGGAAGCTGTGTTGTCGCTGTCTTGTTAGTTTCAAGAGACCTTACAGTTACAAGCTAACTCTGCTACTATCACCTCCTCTGTCAACAGTATCGTTCACTCGTTTGCTAAAACGCTGAACGTCAAGCTGAATAAATTCATCATGGATGACCCCAACACCTTTTACTTGGTTAATGGGTTCCTGGAAAAGACGGACACAGTGAAAAACAACCCAAACATCTTCAATTACACCGTGTGGGAAAGTGAGAAAGGGAAATCAGCCGGCGAGCTGCTACAACGAGCTTTGCTGAAGGTACGTAAGACAGAGGAAAAGAAGGAGAGATGGAGTCCAAGGGCCTTGACTGAAAACTACAAACCTGCTGCTTTAGACATTCTGACACATTAAGTGAATCGTTGCACAAGTTCACACATCTGATCAGATCTTTGGTTATTAATGTCCTTGCATAGCTGGAAAAGCTATTGCACTTTACCTACCTTCATTGTCAAACTGCATGCGCACACTTACATACACCATCAGTGTTTACAAACTGTAAGAACAAATGTTACCAAGTTCTCATATGAACAGATGGTAGCATGTAACATTTAGCATCAGGCAAGTAACTAAGGTTAACCCTCTAGTGGCAATAACCTCCAAGAACTCCCATTGGTTTGCTTTCTGTGTCAGGCTTGGCCATATAGTGGAGATACACATTCATGGTTCATTGTAGACATAGAAATGAAAGCTCACTTTGTGAATACTCACATCAGCTCAATAGATGATTCAACTGACTTCATCAATGCAAGTGATTTTTTTTTCCTTTTCTTTTTTTTGCAGGTCAAACATGATGTGGAAAACCATGGTTGCAGGGCTGCACTGATGAAATACGATCATTATTCTGTGAAGGTAAAACACGATGTGACGTCATGACATTTTGTAAAATGAGAACATTTAACATATTTCTTTTGACACATTTTAAGCCTTTTGTTTTGAGCCCAACTGTCTGCATGACATGGAACTGTGTTTATTTCACAGGACTTTCTGAGAGACCAAGGATGTCGGAGTTCAGAAGCAGTGAGGATGATTGGAGACCTGCTTAATGAACAGAGCCTCATGTACACTGCGGTGACTGAGATGATCTATGAACAGGCTGTCATCAATGATGACATAAAGTGAGTCCCAACACCCCGCATTGTCAACTACTCAATATAAAAACATATTTTCACAGTAGAGTAAAAATTGTTAAATCCCCTATCAACAACAGTTATATATATGAAATTATTATAAAGCTGTTAACTTATTTTACAACCAATCCTTTTTTGAATATTTTGAGCTAAGACATTATAATTCCATGGTGTTACATTTAGCATCAAAGTAAATTTAGAATTTTTTACCATTTGGTGTTTTCTGCAAACAGCTTTTAAAACCTCTTGAGCTACAAGAATATGTAAGCCGTTTTTACCTGCTCCAAACACAACTCAAACAACCAACTAAAAGAATTACCAAAATATCATATTCATATTTCGCCAGCAGTGAGCTCACCCAGCACATTTCAGAACCTAGCGATCGAAGCTACGTGCTAGAAAACAAACCAAGACGACAAAAAGCAAGCAAATGCCACACAAATCCTTCACATCTCTCTCCACAAAAGCATCACCGAGATATGAGCCAACGAACACCAGCAACACAAATCGCTTTATCGCGTTACATTTTGAAGTTTAGATGAAAAAAAGCATTTCGACCCCGCTATGTCTTCCTCGTGTATCCTGTGTTAAATCATTCCGTGGCTTTAGGGGGGCCGTTCAGACCAGGGCTGACGATTTGACTTTCAACGTATCGGATTTTACACTTCACGATAGATGGCGCCTTGTTGATTGTGATTGGCAAACAGTGCTGTCAATCTTTTCCTCGTGGGTATAGCTCAATTCTATTGGCTCTAACTATACTATATATATCTATAATCTTTTTAGTATGGGTATGCAATTTTCGAGCAGAGGCCTAAAAAATAGGTTCGTTTTTATAGTTTGACCATATAAAGTTATTATATCGAACGTGTTGAGAAACTGTTGCTTAATTGCACATCCAACAGACACAGATCCACATTAGCATTCATTTGGACTTGTGTTTGTGGCCACCCAACAAATATACATCAGATATTAATCACCTTTGCTCTACTTTGATTTTCACCAATATATCCAGCTCTTTTAATGCTAAATGCTCCACAGCGTGTACCAGCAAAACCTTAAATTCTTTTGAGCTAGGCAGGAAGTGTACAAAGGATTAAACCAAACCAGGAAAGGAAGACGTTATTTTTGGCTGATAATGTTAGTTTGTCTTAGATTTGTTGTATTATAGACAATGACTTCCAGATCTAAATCAAACCTTGATTCTGATGTTGGCCGCCTAGAACTAATGTCAATCGACTCAAACGACTGCAGGTGGCTCTCCCAGTCTGCATCTTTCAAACAATTATTAATCATCTAAATATTGAACTATGAATGTGGTTGCTAAAACACAGCATACGAACATATTGCAAATCTGCAAGTCTCTCTACTAGAATGCATTCAATAAGAGAATCTATTTGTCTTTTTGTTTTTAAGGTACACAGAAGTGACTGGTGGGTCGGACCTTCTCCCCAAAGCTTTTCAGAATGTCCTCAATGACCTCAAAGTCCCTATACTCCTCAACTCTACGGTCAAACGCATCAAACAGTCAGATAAAGGTGTAACAGTTTCGTATGACACAGGACAAGAGTTGCTGAAGCTTTCTGCCAACATCGTTCTGGTAACAACCACAACCAAAGCAGCCCTTTACATGGACTTTGTTCCAGCTCTCTCCGTTAACAAGATGGAGGCACTGAGGTCAACCCACTATGACAGCTCCACTAAAATCTTCCTCACCTTCAGTGAGAGGTTCTGGGAAAAGGACGGCATCCGAGGGGGAAAGAGCATCACTGACGGGCCCTCGCGTTACATCTACTACCCCAGCCACGGTTTCAAAAATAAGACCATCGGTGTCCTCCTGGCTTCCTACACCTGGTCTGATGACTCCCTCCTCTTCTTAGGTGCGAGCGATGAAGACCTGAAAGAAATGGCTCTGAGAGATTTGGCAAAGATCCACATTCACACGGATGTCAGGTCTCTCTGCAGAGGGGTGTTGGTGAAGAAGTGGAGCATGGATCCTTATAGCTTCGGTGCCTTCGCTCTCTTCACACCCTACCAACATTTAGAGTATGCTAAAGAACTCTTCAGAAGTGAAGGCAGGGTGCACTTTGCTGGTGAGCACACAGCCTTCCCTCACGCTTGGATGGATACAGCTATGAAATCTGCAATCAGGGCTGCTAAGAATATTAACAAAGATTCAGCTAGAACTCAGCATGACGAGCTCTAAGGTTTTAAATCTACTTTCTAGGGAAAATCTGTTTAATAGCAGTAATGAAAATGTTTCGGGGGAAATATTGAGAAACATTACAAAGAAGTGTTGCACTTTTGCTTGGTTTTTGTATCCTTAGGAGTGAGGCTCCTCATAATTATCTTCATTTTCACAACTGACCATCATAAGACAATTAACATAACTTTATGTGCTGCATATGTAAGGGTCTTTAACATTTTCACAAGTCATTCATGTCAGTATACAAAGACTGGCAAAACACAGAGACAAATGCAAATAAACATAATCTTCAAAAACCAAACAACAACAATCTGCTCCCATTAAGACATCTTTTATTACAGTGATTGGATAAAGTAATGATCCATGACAATGAACAGCATTGTTAAATAGTAAATACAGAGAGAGAAAGAGAGAGTGTAAGAAACTAATTCACAATACAACATAACTAAAAAGCTCAGTTCATATAACAAAGAACAGTCAAATTCAATATCGTGAACAGGTTCATTTGTGCTCTTATATAAGTTAGGCTTTCTTCACTTTGAATTTATAATGTGTGCTTGTGAATATGATATTTGGTCAGCCCAAATCTGTGGTTGATGCTCTAATGACTTATTTCACATTCTTAAATGAGTCGTTTGATTTTATTCAGATATGTCCTCTCAAATGTGTGACTTGTTAACTCAAATCATTAGTCTATGATCATCACTTACTCAATTCATATTATCATCATTAATTCATGCACAGAAATGAGTCACTGTTATCCTTGTCTTCTCAATACTTTTTTCTGCACGTTCAGCAATTGTATCCAGCTTTGGTTGCTATTAGTTGGGTTCAAATATACAGTTTAAGTTGTCAGGCAATTGATCTAAATGAGCTAATTCTGTTTAATATGTTTTAATTACATAAAAGGTACATGTGGATGTACTAAAGATTTGGATTCTTAAAAAATATTGTTTTATTTTTGACATATTGTGTATATGTGTACATGTATATCTACATATATGTATAATAAATGTGTTAAAAATAAGTTGGGAGCATGAGTCATTAAACTCAATGGTTGAATTAATTTAGCACAGTTCATTTGTGTACAACACTCAATATTGCTAATTTGTGTGTATGAATGAGAATCAAATGTAACCTCTTTGTGTGAGTTGCATCCAATTCTTTGAGGGAAGCTGCTTCAAAACCCAGTAATGAACCAAAATGATCCCAATAAAACTGATTTATATGCAGACTGTATAACTGTGTATACAAACAATATATCTGTATAAGCAGATGATAAACCTGTATGTGCAGACAATATACATTTTCTATTTCCTTTACTTTGTCCAATGAGATCAAATGTAAAGTGCTATGCTCCAACTTATTGCCTGATGTTTAGTTACAGTGAAACTTACTCTTAATTAATTCAAAGCAAGTCCCCTCTGATCCTGTCCGGTTGTTGTCTTTACTCGTTGCTTTAACAGCAACAGAGCACTTTTCCTTCTCTGTGTAGAAACAGCAAAGGTAAAACCAAACTGCTGGGCAGAATAAACCAGTTTGCAGATATCAGCACCAAACACCTGTCACTGTAGTTCAGCAGCTGTGAGTTGCCTAGAGCAACACAAACGAGAAAACCGGCAAACCACAACCACAGAACTGCCACAATGGCTGTGACTGTATGGAAAGCTCTCTGCTTTGATCGATCTACTCGCTCTCTTTCCCCGCCCACCTCCCCTGGCCCTGGACGAATCAGAACACAGAGAACACAAAGGCTGCAGAAAGTTATGACAATTAAAGAGAAGACCAATGAGCAGAAAAATGGGATGACGGGAAGATCAGGGATGAACAGAACTGTTAAACCACCCCATCCACAGCACAGCAGCCAAACACATACAAGGCTGATATTTCGCAACTTGACCCCACCTGACTGTCTCATCCCCAGATAGGTGACGGGATGAACAACAGCCAGGTATCGTTCCACACAGGTCAGGGTGTGAAAGAACATCTGTCCTGGTAAAACCATAGAAGACACATAAACCCCCACTGTGGTCCCCTCTGAGAGACCAGCATACATGCCACAAAAGGTGACTGCAACCCCAAAGGCGTAGATCAGCTCCATAGCAGCCATGTGGAAGGTGAAGATGTCAGAGTGCCTCGTTGTTGCAAAGGAGCGCTGCCGCCGCCATTGTTGGTAACCCAGGTAGAGGATGAGGATGGAGAGGGGGACGAGGAGCAATATCTTAGTGATGATGAAGGCAATGGAGATGAAAACTGCAGTTTCAATGTTGAAGCAGTGGTAAAAGGAAGAAGAAGAGTTGACTGACATATTGGTTCATATGATGTTGCTTTGATGGAGAAAAGGGAGAAAGAGAGTGAGAAACTAATCATTGAGACAATGAGACAACAATCACCTTCATTTCTAAGATCATTAAAGTTAATCAAAACTACAACACATTGTTAGCCATTCAATGCAGACATCATTTCTTTAATACTGCAGATTATTTATTGTAGGTAGCTTTAATAACTGTGTTACTGCCTGAAAGCAAAATCTGAACACAGTTGTCCAATATGGAACTCATATTCTTTTAATATTATTATTTCTAGAACCAGCAGATTCATAAAATCGCATTACAGAATTAATTACAGTCTTTGACTTTTTGACAGACATTATTTTGTATACATAGACATGAATGCAGTTAAAATCAACAAAACACAAAGCAGGTATTTAAGACTATGAACTGAAAGTCGTCGTGTAATAAAGGACACCCACCTTGTTTGTTTCTGATGTTTCTCACGGACTGCTTTTCTCCAGCAGCTGATCCTTACGTGTATCAGTGCATCTGGGTGTGAGTGTATTAAAGGCACCATGCGTCAAAGTGACAGACAGCAGCAGGACTGTGTTGTTGTTTTTTTGTTGCATGTTGTCAAAGAAATGCTCACACAGATTCGTGTCACTTAATACATGAAATTGTGGTAAGCAAATTTAGTTCTCACATTATTGCAGAGTGAGGTCAGAGTGCAGGGTCAGCTGCTGATGAGCATCACTGGTAGTGTTCTAGTGTCTCGAGGATATTTTAGTCGTTTGAAATAGAATAACTGGTTAGATTTCTGGGTGTTTGTGTTATAACCTGTCTTAATGCAGGA